AGGAGGAGAAGAAGAAGAAGAAGAAGAAGAAGAAGAAGAAGAAGAAGAAGAAGAAGAAGAAGAAGAAGAAGAAGAAGAAGAAGAAAAGAAGAAGGAGAAGGAGAAACACCTGAAAATGCAGTAAAGACATCCAGAAGATCTGATTTCTAGCCCTGCCCCAGACCCACTGATCTGAATCATTAGGAGTAAAGACAAAGTAGGCTCTAGGTTATGACTGGGAAGGAGCACACAGGTTCTGGGGGCCAGACAGGATTCTTTTCTTGCCTGAGTTACTCACTCAGTTTGCTTCATAACATGTCATTAAACCACACATGTAAGTTTTAAGCAGAATAAAAATGTCTTTAAAAATTATTGTATGGGATGGTACCCAAGGAGTCCTTGAAGGTAAATGCACATTTTTCAGTACACTTATCACTACACAAGGGCCTGGCTTTGAGAGTTGTGTGGATCCAGGTTTGGATTCCAGCTCCACTAGGATGAGGTATTTCCCTTCAAGCAAGTTATAAAACCTGTCTGAGCCCCCAGTTTGTCCATCTGTAAAATAGAGAGAGTACAGGTATCTATCTCAGAAAGTTGTTGTTAATATTAAGTGAAATCATTACTAGTTTTCTGATTAGGAAAGCATTAACATAGTTAGACCCACTACCCCTGCCCTCTGCCCTCTCCTGTGCTAAAACAGCTGAATCCATATCGACCTCTCCCACCAGACTGTGAGCTCCTTAGAGACCAGGGGTCACATTTGGTTCCTTGGGTGGACAGTTCCCCATGTTGCCTGATCCCAAGTAGACTCTCAATACGTATCTATTTTAAAAATTAAAAAACGCAAAAAAAAACAAAAAACTTTTTCTTAGTAGAAGAACAAGGCTCTCCTGGTTTAGAAGATTATAGACTGTAAGTAAATAGATTGTACTTGCTTGCTTATAATTTTAAAGATACACAATTCATTTAAGGATAAAGGGATAAAAATTGGGCCTTCTCCCTCTACATCTCAAATCTGACCTGTATTCCATGTCCTTACATTGTCTCCGACTGAGCTTAAAAGTCAGAGGAAATGACCCTCCTCTAAATGCCAACCTCACAACTTCAGCAGGAACATAACAGTTTCCCTTCCTAAATCATCCTCCATGAGGTAGTGAGTGACATGCTTCTCAGAACTACTGATAGCTGATCCTACACCACCTTGTAGACACAGCATATTCCTTAGGTCTACCAGCTGGAGTATCATGCTGAAGCTTCCAACATGACCCCCATTTTACTTGATTTTTGATTTTATAGAATTTTAACATCACCTACCCTTTTGTCCTTCACCTTGAAGACTCAACAGTCTGGATCTTCACAGGCATGCCTCTGTAGGCCCGGGATTGTTTAAAATGTCCTTCTCCATATGAGACAGCAGGTAGATGCCTGGAACCCCAAAACAAGGTTTGAGAAAGATGGCTAACACAACTTCCTCCCCTCCCACACATCTCTGCAAAGCAGATTCTGCTCCCTCCCTACCCAACTTCATCCTGACTTTCCTCCTCTGCCACATGCCCTAGGCTAACCTCACACTTCCCATAACGCAGGCTCAACCTTTGTTGGAAATCTGTACCTTAGTGTGAATACATTGCAGATTATTTCCCAAATGCAAGACCAACAAATCAAGGGGGAAAGAAAAGGGGCTCTGATACCTCAAACAACAGGTAGGAGGCAGACACCAAGAAAAGGCAGTGAACAGGAGAAACAAGATATACAGTACCCCTTCAATAGCCCTCATATGCCAGGCACGATGATATATGGTTCTACATAAACTTATATTTTATTGAGTCCTTTCCCTCTAAGACAGACATCATTATTTC